TTTCAATCTCTTGGATGTCTTGAAAGGTCAGTTCTTATAGATTTTGTAAAAGAAAAAAAAAACACGAGTCTTTTTCTTTTCCTGGGGCATGGTGTGGATTTTCCAGAATATCTTGATCAAAGAATCAGAAAATCATTTCCAGTCTGTACAAATACTGTAGACACGTTTTCTTTCTGCTCACATCATTTTGCATTGTACATTTTTATTCAAAATCAGTCCAGTCTGAGTACTTGCTAAGAGAATAAAAATTCCTATTTAATTGGGCATAATGGTTAACAGATGTAATTAGGGTCATATATATAGGCAGGTGCAAAGATCAAGATTTTTTTTCCCCAAACAAACTAGTCCCAAATGGTAATTGACACAAGAACAATCCATGGACTTCCCCATTTCTCACCTCATACAAATAAAAAGCAAACACTATGGAAGAGAGTCATGAAAATATATAGCAGCCTTTAATACTGTTAATATTTAAAGCAGCAGTAATTCAGACAGTCATATTCCTTTATGTGCAATTGTTCTTTGAAATTAACTGGCTTGGCACTCCTATGCTTTAAAGCACTGGTCCGCACAAACAAGCAAAGCTCCATCTGTGGGATGCAGGCAGCACACAAAACCATGCCCCCTTCGGTCCGTGGAAAAACCTCTCTCCATGGAACCAATCCCTGGTGCCCAAAAGGTTGGGGACCTCTGCGTTAAAGTGAGCACCAAATTGTTGTTGTTGTTAGTTGCAAAGTCGTGTCCGACTCATCGCGACCCCATGGACAACGTTCTTCCAGGCCTTCCTGTCCTCTACCATCTTCTGGAGTCCATTTAAGCTCACGCCTGCTGCTTCAGTGACTCCATCCGGCCACCTCCTTCTCTGTCGTCCCCTTCTTCTCTTGCCCTCGATCTTTCCCAGCATCAGACCCTTCTCCAGTGAGTCCTTCCTTCTCATTAGGTGGCCAAAGTATTTGAGTTTCAACTTCAGGATCTGGCCTTCTAAAGGGCAGTCAGGGTTGATCTCCTCCAGGCCTTCCTGTCCTCTACCATCTTCTGGAGTCCATTTAAGCTCACGCCTCCTGCTTCAGGGACTCCATCCAGCCACCTCATTCTCTGTCGTCCCCTTCTTCTATTGCCTTTGATCTTTCCCAGCATTAGGCTCTTCTCCAGTGAGTCCTTCCTTCTCATTAGGTGGCCAAAGTACTTGAGTTTCAACTTCAGGATCTGGCCTTCTAAAGAGCAGTCAGGGTTGATCTCCTCTAGGACTGACCGGTTGGATCGCCTTGCAGTCCAGGGGACTCGCAGGAGTCTTCTCCAGCACCATAGTTCAAAGGCCTCCATTCTTTGGCGCTCAGCCTTTCTTATGGTCCAACTTTCACAGCCGTACATTGCAACTGGGAAAACCATGGCCTTGACTATACGCACTTTTGTTGGCAGGGTGGTGTCTCTGCTTTTGAGTATGCTGTCTAGATTTGCCATAGCTTTCCTCCCCAGGAGCAAGCGTCTTTTAATTTCTTGGCTGCAGTCCCATCTGCGGTGATCTTGGAGCCCAGGAAGATAAAATCTGTCACTAACTCCATTTCTTCCCCATCTATTTGCCAGGAATTGAGAGGGCCGGATGCCATGATCTTGATTTTCTTAATGTTGAGTTTCAAGCCAACTTGTGCACTCTCCTTCTTCACCCGCATCAAGAGGCTCTTTAGTTCCTCTTCACTTTCTGCCATTAGAGCACCAAATACTGAATACCATTAAATATACAAGCGCGCCATCTTCTGGCTATTGTCAACTATTGCTCAAAGTACTGATATTGTTGTGCAGGCAGTCCTCAACTTACAAGCGCAACTGAGCCCAAAATTTCTGTTGCTAAGCGAGACAATTGTCAAGCGGGCCTTGCCCCATTTTACGACCTTTCCTGCCAGTCGTTAAGTGAACGACTGCAGTAGTTCAGTTAGCAACGCGGTCATTAAGCGAATCCGGCTTCCCCATTGACTTTGCTTGTCAGAAGGTTGCAAAAGGGGATCATGTGACCCCACGATGCTGCAAACTGTCGAAAATATGAGTCAGTTGCCAAGCATCTGAATTTTGATCAGGTGATCACGGCTGCAACGGTCATTAAGTGTGAACAGCGGTCGTCACTTTTTTCAGTGCAGTGCACATGTAACTTTGAACGGTCGCTAAATGAGCAGATATTTGCCACTATTGCAAAACCAAACAAACTGTTGTAAATCGAGGACTACCTAGTACCACATTAAGAGGAAGCACCGGTGGTCCTTGATTAACAGCCATTTTGTTCAGTGCCTCTTTTTATTTTCTTTATCAATCTACCGGCAACAGGGAAAAAAGGAAGGAAAAGCGTTTTTTTTTCCTCCCTCTTCAACAACGCGAACCGGATTTAAACAAACCCAGCACAGAACAAAAACTGAATACAAAAACAAATACAAATACAGAGATTCTGTATTCCGAGACGATGCATACTTTGCAGCCAGTTAAGCTACAGTAACCTGCCCAGTGCCGGCATAATTTCCTTTGAGCATCCAGAATTTCCCATTTTCCGGTTTGCTTGTTTTTTTTTCCCCTGAATTTGGGATTAAGAACTCAGCCAAGAGAAAAAGAATAAAAAAAAGGGGGGGGGAAAGCACCTGGAGCCCATCTGGAACTTCTAGTGACTTCACCCAGGCCTTTTTTCTTGGTGATTGTATTGTTTTCTTGGAAGGAGATGATCCCCCAGCTAACAATCCCGCTGAGATCCCCTCGTGGTCTCCCATCCAGGCCGCCCTCCCTCCCTCCCCGAGAACAAACCAGCGCGCTGTTGGCTGCCGAAAGCGAAAGTCTCGCGAGACGAGACTCCGCGCGCTTCCTGCGGCCCAACCCGCGTCTTCCAAAACGTCACTTCCGCCTAAACCGGAAGTTGACGCTCAGGTGGTTACTATGTGGGGGGGGTTGTTTTCTTTGGGCGATCCGGGCTTTTCGCGCAGAGGGAGGGGATTCCTCCTCCTCCTCCTCCTCCGGCCGGGAACCGCCGGTGAGCGCGCCGGCCCCGAGGCGGCTTCTCCCTCGGGGGAGCGGCTGCCCTTCTTCGGTCTCTTCCCTCCAGCGGTGGGCCCGGTGGTCGTGCAAACTGGGCTGGAGGGGGGGCGATGAGCAGCTTCCTGGCTGCCCCCCCTCCTCAGGAGGGGGATAACGGGGTGGGGGGAGCCCCCCCCGATGTATTGGGGGCCGTGACGCCCCCGTGGCCATCGGCAGCCGTTGTTGGAGCGCCTAAGCCAGGGGGCAGCCGGGCGGACTTCAACTCCCAGAATGCCCCAGGCAGCATAGGGAATGGGTGGACTTGACTAGATGGCTAGGGAATTCTGGGAGTTGAAGTCCACAAGTCATCAAAGGGCCACGTTTGAAGCCCCCTGGCTTAAGCCCTTGTCTCTCCATTCTGAGCCAGGGGGCAGCCGGGCGGACTTCAACTCCCAGAATGCCCCAGGCAGTATAGGGAATGGGTGGACTTGACTAGATGGCTGGGGAATTCTGGGAGTTGATGTCCGCCCGGCTGCCCCCTGGGCTCAGAATGGAGGGACGCTGACCTCAGTCAAGCTGAGTCCCCTTTAAAGGAAAGAACAAATCGAGGGGCTTTTGCAGCCTTGATGCGGGAGGCTTAGCTGAGGGTGGTGGCTGCTGATCCTGGGATCGGGCTATGCCAAACTGAGCTTTTCTTCTTGCCCTCCTAGGTGGAGCGAGCAGGATGGTGGCAGGGGCACAACGTCCTGTAGTGCAGCAAAATGTCAGGGTTATCATTTACACCAGGGGTCTCCAGCCCTTGGCACCTTTAAGACTTGTGGACCGGAGGAATTCTGGGTATTGAAGTCCACAAGTCTTAAAGTTGCCACGATTGAAGACCCCTGATTTACACGCTCTCAGTTGTAAAGTACAGGGTAAAGCATGTTGCAGCGAGGCATAGTCTAACATAATGGATGGGCTCAGTCACTGGTTTGGGGCAAAGGTGGGTGGGCAACTGGTGGATGTCCTAAAGACAGAATTCTTTTTTTGGGGGGTGGGGGATGAGTGCTGCTAAACAGCTGGTGTTACATCATGCAAGCTTGGGGGAGTGGGCTTTGGGGGAGGTATTTTTGTTTTTTAAACTGATCAGCCTATTTGGGGCTCGCGCAACTATTCTCATTTTGAATTCTGCTTTTGGTTTTTAATAGTCTTAGAATGGAAAGGAAAGCTGTCAACATAATCTGGTCTGGAAGTTGTGTCTTTTTTTTATAGCTGAAAGTAAACACTCTACCATGAATGAAGGGATTACAGGGTCATAAAAAGGGAGTTTAAAGTGGCTTGATGAACAGTTGCTGCTTGTAGGTCCTACTGGTTATGGGTATGCCTGTATCCCTGGCCAGTTGTGAGATGCTAGGAGAGAGCAGCATTCGAAGGATCACCGTTCCCTATCACTGGTTTAAATAATTGCTGTTGGTGCGACTTAGATTCATCTCATTTTTGCTTTAAATAAAATAAGCATTTCCATTGTTTTGGGATGTCTGTCCAACTTATTTGTACAGGGGAGAGCTAAGTACATCTCTGCTTATTTGTATGTCATAATAAAGCAGATTTTCAAACAGCCTTCATGTCTTTAAAACCTCTCACTAAGATGTGGGCATTATTTTCATACACATAGCAGTTATGCTAATGCTGGATGGTAAAGTATAAGTTAAAGACATCTAATTTGACAAAATATTTTCCTGCTTTTTTGTTTTGCATAGATTTTAGTACAGCATTAGTATCTGTCAAGTCAGTTGCCCTGAATGTTGCTGCTATGTTGGTTTTTCTGTCTAAAACTTTGCTGTACTCTTGGTTTACTAAGCACTTTGGTTGTCTGTTTTCTAATGTTAAGAGGATGCTGTGTTTGGGGGTTTTTTGGGGGGGTCAAAGTTGATGCTTCTGAAAAAATGCTTTTGGAAATTAAGGGAATTGTTGATAATCTTTTTTCTTCTGTTTTTCTTTCAGAAATGATCATTTTTTTGCCATGAATAGAGATCTAATCAGGTGGCTGAGCCAATATTTGCCATGGCATCCGAACTCTGTAAAACGATATCAGAAGCAAAGCTAGAAAGGCACAAGAATTTATTCTTGAACTATCGAAATCTTCATCATTTTCCTTTAGAATTGCTGAAGGATGAAGGTCTGCAGTACTTGGAGAGATTATATATGAAAAGAAATTCCTTAACTACCTTGGTATGTCGTTTCACTGTTTAATCGGCAAAAGATTTTTTTATTGTGTTGAATAGAATGTGTGTTTTGGAGTATTTGGAGTATCGGTTATTCCTTAGGTTGGGCAAAAAAGGGTCTATGCTAGCCTTTTTCAGGTAGGCCAAGTCAGGAAACAAATACTGTAAGGCATGATGTCTAACCTTTAGGCACTGCTATGAAGAAGTTATGCTTCCAGCATCCAGATGGATGACATTATTTATTTAATCAAAGGAACTCAGAATATCCCAACACACCGCAACCAGCTTCATCCTGGTTCTAGCTTGAAAGGAGATAGGCAGTTTTCAACAAAAGACTTTTGAGGATGGCATTCTAATTTGAGAATAAACAAAAAGAGAGAAATTTTAGCCTTTTTTTAACAGTGGCTATACTGCCTACCTTATCAAATCAGTGAAAACCTGGTCGTTCATTACAGTTCAGTTAGAAACTGCTGCGCAGCTTCAGCGTGTTGAGCATTAATTCTCCAGTAGGTGGAAACCCAAACTCAAAGTTCCTGGATTTCTTGAACTGGAAAAAAAGGCTGAGGCTATGAACGGTTCTGCATATGTGCTTAGCTGAAAGAGACGATTCTAAGGGGGTTGCTTGCATTACAAATTGAAATAATTTGCAAGTAATATCCTGTCCTTCCAAGTTATTTAACCATATGTAGTTGCTGGCTATGGTTTTTTTTTTTTTTAACTTTGCACAGTTACATAGAACTAGACTGCACACTTTTTATATTTTATAAGCTTCTTTCAGCGACTCATTTTTAGAGAGCTGATGTTGAATTTATAAAGATGAAACTATAATTTTGTCCATTTGTGTTTTTTAGCCAGAAAATCTTGCCCAGAAACTTCCAAATCTTGTTGAACTGTAAGTATATTATTTTTCTTGTTGATAGTGAATATGCTGAGGTTTATAAAAGTGGCTTGACTTATATGAAAATACTTTAAGTGGATATAAACAGTATATTATGAGCTCTTTTTTCCTGGTCAGATTCCTTAGACCTGATCTAATTTTGTTCTTATACTACCATCCCCAGGATATAGGGTAATACTTGTGAAAAAGAGCTGGGAAAGATCATCACACTCAGTTCTTGCTGAGTGGCTACATTTTATCAACAGCAGCTTGATTATTTACTCAGGAAACTTGTGAATACAGTAGTGGCCAAAATTGTGGAAACCTTTTGGGAAAAGTGTACATTTGAGGTTTGATGGCTAATAACGCCACTTTTTGTTTTGGAGTAGTACCATAAAATTATATATCAATGGAAAGATAATTTAATCAAGACTGTAATGCCACAAAGTTTGTTCAATTATCTGTACTGTATTCTATGAAACGTTATAGCCAAATAACCAGAAAAAGGAAGCACAACTTGCTTAGGTTGATATCAGGTAGCTTTCCTTCATCCGATTGTAGCCAATGAGCGTGAGTGTTTAGAGAGCCAGTCAGGTGTCATCTTGTTTTGGCAATGAGCCAATCAGATCACAGTAGGATCCAGTGATTGATGTCCTGTATTGAAGCCGAGAGGAGGACATTTGTCAGTGTGTTATGTGATGGCTATCAAGTTGGTTGGGGTTTTTTGTGTTCTTTCATTTAGTGAGCTGGTAAAACGTAATAAAATTAAAGTAATGGTGCAAAGAGTTGACTGGTCGCCCAGAAAGCGATGTAAAATAGTATTATTAAGTGAACAAGGCTACAGTGACAAAGAAATTAGAAGAAGAATGGGTGGAAACTTAACCAAAGGTGGCATTTCTACTCTACACTTTCCCCAAAAGGTTTCCACAATTTTTGGCCACTACTGTATACTGTCTAACAATAATACAGTTTGTAACAATCTAATTCTTACCTGCTGTAAGGATTTAGAGTGGCATTTTACTTGATAATAGAGTGTACCTCTTAGAACATAGTATTCTAATACCTTTAATAACTATCCCATCATTAGTATCTTTGCTCAAGAATGTGAGATGGTATGCTTTGGTCAGGAAAACAAGAACCTTGTATCTTGTATGGAGCAATATAATTCCATTTTTGTATCTAACAGTTAATATATTTCATCAGCAACCCTATAGACATATTGTGGGGAAGAGAAAACCCTCATTAGCAATAGTGCCAAAAATTTCTGGAGAACTTAGCTCCTTCAGTTGTTCAGATAAGAATGCTTCATGTTCCAAACATTTTGAAAGGGTTTGCAGTGTTCCCACAACCCCTGGAATAATATTCAGCTACAGTGTCATGGCAACAGTTCCTGCAAGCATTAGTTGCTTAAAATAATTACAGAAGCACATCTGTAACCAGGTCATATTTTATAGCCTCTCTACGGTCAAAGGATGTGGACTAAATTATTTTTGTATATTATATAGGGACACTGTGATTCTATGCAGGCTGATCCCATATATCTAAGAAATGTGGTCTAAGCCTCCACTTAAATCACCATCATCATCATCATCATAGCCCATGGCAAGCTGTCCTTTATTTATAATTTGAGTGTCAGCAGTGCACTTATTAATTTTTGAAGGTCATTGCAGTCTGCAGCTTCTTTAAGAAATAATCTTGCCTCATCTTATCTAGTGGGAATTCTCTTTTAATGAACTTAAAGTACAGCTTTCACCAGAGTTGCATGTTTTTGGCACCATGCAGTTTCAAACATAATCTGATTAAGCCACAAGAATCTTCTTTAATATTTGAAAGAGGTTATTTCTAGAAGCTCGGGAAAAATCAGCAAGCTTGTTGAGCTACATACTAAGGTTTTCTTGGCTAAATTGTATTGCGCTCTATAATCCTTTTTTGTTTTAAACTGTCTAATTTACTCTGTTGTTTGAAGGTTGGGATTTCAATCTGGATATATTTTAATCTTGTTAATGGTTATCAGGTTGCAAAACGTAAGTTGAGGTGCAGTGGAGCCAAACTTGCGGAAGCTGCTAATAAGATAATTTTTTTTCCCTTGCTGTGACTCTTGTGTTATGATGGACTCAAAAAGATTTCAACCTGCCACTTCAATTTTCTTTAGGAGATTTGATGAGAAATTGTTTCCCAGTTATATTTTAACTAAGCCTTAAAAAGGCTGGCCCTCGAACCCTCTCAACACGGCAACGCTAATACAGCTGTCCGTATTTGAGTGACAGTTCTTCCTACTTTTTTTCATGCTGCATAACAATCTTGTCAACTTTGCATGCATGATTAATAGATGATCTCAACCTCAAACAATGCAGCCATAATGGTGCTTGGGTATCTTCATTACTCTGGGCACTGAAATGGATGCCATAAGAAAAGCCTCGAATTAGTAGAGTCCTATTAAAATTGTCTATGTCGGATGGGTCCGTAAACAATTCTAACTAATACTGTGTGAAAGAAGACTGCTCCTTGGTCATAAATACAGGTCAGGACCCAAAGAACCTCACAAATAGTTCCAGGCACAGAGATAACTTTATGCTAATGGAGAAAAAAAAGGTATTTTTTAAAAAAACAAAAAAAAACAAAAAACAGATTGCGTGATGGAATGGAACACACCCCAGCCTTTGTACTTAAAGTAGTTCTTAGTCTTAAAGTGCTGGGGCTTGTCAGTAAATAAAGTACATTATTTTTTTTTTTAAATAAGTAAATTATTTTTTTTTTTAACAGCATCAGTTTCTCAACTGTTGTTGAATTAAAATTGCCACTTGGAATTTTTTTAATGTTGCTGTCGAAACTGTGTGAAGATTGAAGTAAACATAGAAAATTAGAAGAATTTCAACCAAAAAAAAAATTGTTTCTGATTTCCTGCGGGGTGTGTGTGTGTTAATGATACTTTTAAAATATACACAACAGTAATAATACTTTCTCCATGATTGCTGAAAGAGAATTCCAGTTCTTTCCTGTGTAGGAACTGCTCTAACGTAATTTCAACCTGTCTAATTCTGAATTAGCTCAGATAGGAAATCTGTTGACCTTGGCCTGGTTTCAGTCATAGAGTAAGCCGCACAATGTGTGTACTTAAGATTATCTCATTTTGACCGTGCAGTAGCTGCTTGACCTGACTGACTAATTGTAACCTACTTCCTTGATTGACAATGAGGGAATAAAAGAAACGAGTAGCGTGCATGTTTTCTGTTGTTGTACAATCTCATTGTAAAGGGGCGTTCGACCTGAATACATGGGTACATTCAAAACCATAAATCAAAACAAATAACATGCCTAGGAGAAATAGGTGAAACTGACTGATTTAATTTTAGGTCCAACACTTTCTCTTTTTTTCCTGTTTTGTGTCTGTCATCGAAACACATAGGAAATCACAATTGGTCGGTGTTGGGTTCAAAGCATCTGGCTGATATTTATTTTTCATCAGTGTTTGTTAGTTTATATCCCGTCTTTATTATTTTTACAAATAACTCAAGGCAGCTAACATGTGCTACACACTTTCCTCCTCCCATTTTCCCCACAACAACAAAAACAACAACACTGTGAGGTGAGTTGGGCTGAAAGAGAGTGACTAGCCCGAAGTCCCCCCACCAGTTTTTATGGCTTAAGGCAGGACTTGAACTCATGGTCTCCTTTTTTTATATATAGCCTGGTGCCTTAACCATGAGACCAAACTTTAACAACATAATGCCAACTTAGTCAATATTTTATCAACTGGGCTTGCTCACAGTCATTCATAATTCGTCACTTCCTGGTTAGATTACTGCAATGAGCTCTATGTGGAGTTGCTCTTGAAGACAGTTTGGAAGCTGCAACTGTTCCAGAATCTAGCAAGGCTCGTAGTTCTGGGTGTCTCATAGTTCCCCCAAATAACACCACCGCTGTCCAATCTCTTCCTGAAATTCTCCATTGATGGAAGAGCACCCACAACTTCTGAAGGCAAGCTGTCCCACTGCTTAATTGTTCGCATTGCCAGGAAATTTCTCCTTCGTTCTAAGTTGGATCCCCCTGATAATCTTCCATCCGTTGCTTCTTGTCTTGCCCTCAGGTGCTTTGGAGAATAAGTCAACCCCTTCTTCTCTGTGACAACCTCTCAAATACTGGAAGGCTGCTATCATGTCACTCCTAGTCCTTCTCTTCAATAGGTTAGACTTACCTAGCTCCCGCAGTCATTCATCATATAGTTTATATACATAATCGTTCATTGGTCTGGCGCCTGGTGGGAAAGATCCTCTCTAGGTCAATTCAGCAAACTTCTCAAGATCCTTTCCCAGTGCCTGGAAACTGTTAGGGATGAGGGACAGCAGATTTCAGCTCAAACAGCCAAGATGGAGTCACAGGGCTTTAAGATCCCAGATTCTCTGAGGATTTTTGTTGTTGCGTGCCACCTAGGATCGTCCTATGAGAGATAGACAGCTATTTAAAATTTTAAAATAAATAAAAAAAACTGGCTTTATTTGCCCACTCCTGAAAATAACACTATATTCTGTTCTTTCCCCCAGATACCTGCATTCAAATAATATTATTATTGTTCCAGAAGGTGAGTGCCCTAATAATGTCTGGATTTTCAGCTATAGCTTTGCTCTATTGATTGTGCTTATAGTTAGAGTGCTGGGGAAGCCAAAATGCCATTTAAGTACTATTCAGCTTCAACTCAACGTATGATTTTTTAAACCTTATTCGTCATTTATAAAGCATTTCTTTTTCATTTATTCCACAGTCGTACGCCATGCAATTGCCTTTTGTAAATGTAAACCCTAGGAGATTAAACTCTTTTATTCACCATTTATGCCAGTAATATCAAGGAAACGTTTTGGCTGAGTTGCAGTAGTTTTGGTTTTTTGAACATGGCTACTACAGAGTTGTTCTTCTTTACTTCCTCTTTTGCTGCTTCGGGTGTCTAGGGATTCTACAGAGCGCAGGACCATTAATGCAAATAGATTAAGTAGTTGCAGAAAACTGCTGAGAATTATACCTGGAGAATTCGTACATTCCAGACATAAATTCAACCTCTTTGTACACTAATGAAAACCTAAATGACTACAGTTGATAATTTTTTTTAAAAAAAAATTATTTGTTTAATCAGTTTATATGCTCGCCCATCTCACAATTTAATTTTCTTTAAAACTATACAACCAATAGAAACCGTAACCAAAGACAAGCACAGACAACATTCCTATGACAGCGTTTCTCAGCCTTAGCAACATTAAGATGTGTGGTCTTCAACTCCCAGAATTCCCTAGCCAGCCATCCCACACATCTTAAAAGTTGCAAGGGAGAGAAATACTGGACTATGGCAACTGGGAATACCAGCAACCATCATGCCTGGGCTCACTTAACTTCCTAATGTCCAGTGATACGATATTCTAGAGCAGGGGTGTCAATCACACTAAAACTGCACCCACCCCATTGCCGGCAATGGGGAAAAAGTCACATTACGTCGCAACATGTCACGTGACGTCGCGAGTTTGACACCCGTGTTCTAGAGGGAACATAATTTTGTTCCCTCGACATTCTTTCCATATAACTGCTGAAATAGACTATTGCATGAAAGGCTGTGCAAAAAATAAACGTGTCAATCTGTACAGCCAGATGTCTTATCTTTTAGGAATAAGCTATTATTAACAAATGTCTCATTCTAAGTTAAATATATTGCCTTTTTTTTTTTTCTTAAAGCGATTGGTTCTTTGGTTAAACTGCAGTTTCTGGACTTGAGCGATAATGCTCTTGAAATTGTATGCCCAGAGATTGGGCGTTTGCGATCTCTACGCCATCTTCGATTAGCTAATAATCAGCTAAAATATTTGCCAGCAGGTAAGACACGCGAAGCCTTATGGCTCATATATACAATTTTACCTGTTATATAATATTTGAATTATGTCAAATAATATTAGTCAACCGTTCTTAATGTATTCCTTCCACTAATTGTGTTCATTATTGCTGGCTTAAAATTAAGTGCTTAGTTATTAAACTGCGTTAAGTTTGCTGAAGGCAGATTGCATATTAGAAGAATTACATGTACCTTGTTACCTTCTACCTCATTTCTCATGTATCAGATAATCAGATATATTGTGCCACGAATACTACATTTTAAGGTATTAATTTGGGATGGCATAATTTAATCACTACTCATTAATGTTCAGCTGGAATTAAAGAAGAGTATAATAAAGGCAGCACAGTCTAATCACAATTACTTGGAATCATTCTTAGGAGCATGCATGTTTTATCAGTTTATGTATAAGGTTGATCTACGATGTCAGTCTGGAAGATATTCAGATATTCATAATCTGCAGTACAATAATAACAGTGTAGTATGTTAATAGAGATACATCCTGTACCAAATGGATGAACCCATTTTGTAATATCAAGAAGTCAGAGAGACAGTAATGGAAAGGGAATATGTAGACGATGAAAATGCTGGTGGGGGTAAAATTGGGAACTTTCTCACATCAAGAGGATCTTAATCTACTTTTACGAAAATATTTGAATTCCGGAAAAATCGCATTGGTCGGTCGCATGCGCCCACACCCCTTGGGAAATGCTAATCGAGAGAAGCTGTAAAGTTTTTTAATCTCTTGCTGACGTGTAAAGCTATGTGCGCGTTTTCAATTTTCCTTTCAAGCATTAACTTTATCAATGGGCTGTTGGCTTTTATGGCTAGATTAGCTGTAAAATGTAATTTACCAGCAAGCATAATTGTTTACAAACTTAATTACTGTCGTGCTCAAACATAGCACGTTATTGCTTTGGATACTTTTTGATGCAGTGAATAAGGAACACGAGACAACAGCAGGGTTTGTCGGAAGTTTGGATAAAACATCGGGCGTTAACCAGACACAGATTTGAGAGGTGCTTTGCATAGACTCTGAAATCTGAATCAAGATAAGCCTGGACTGGAATAGCTTGTTGGAGGAGCTAGGTTCAGCCACAAAAAAGTGATGTACAGTAAAACAATAAAAAGTTATTAACATATGAAAGCAAATATGAATGTTTACAAATTTGAATTGCAGTAGTTAAGAGAGGACAGTGGACGTTAACAACAATGGAGCCACCTCAGCCTTCAACCCATCCATACCAGGACATAAGGCTCCAGTCCAGAAGTCAAGTACCTTCTCTGGTCCAATCTGATGGTGGTGATGTCCATTGGGTATCATCGACCCACTGCTGATATCACAGCTAAACTTCTTGATAACCCACAAACCTTCATGCAGGTATTCAACAGCATGAGGGAGACCTTATAGCAGAAATAATGCTACATAACAGATAATATTTTCTTCCTTCCTTCCTCACCATTGTTGGTGGGAAAACAATTTTGCCTTTCGGCTCCATTTCACCCTACGGTAAATGATGTAGGATACAAGCAAACCTAACATTTATTTATTTTTCTTAATACAGTGGGGTTTGACAGTTCCTGGCAATACGTTTAAGAGTTAGCAGACTGGACTTGCAAAAATGTAGCATACATTAAATCTTAACAGTATAAAACACCACCCATAGGAAGCCACTTAGAGTTAGAGGGGCAGCAAATAAATTTAATAATAATAAATAAATGATGGCATTGTCTGGCTTGCAAACCTACCCTAATTTCCCAGTTAGTTAAATGGATTGGTTCTTGTGAATTACGACCAGTTGTATTAAGGATCTGGATGACTGAAGATGGTGATGATTCTTTTAAAATGAGGTTAGACTAGTAAAAAACTGTTTAGAATAGCAGTGTAAATCACCAGTAGTACCTGTTAATAATAATAATAATAATAATATACGCTATGACAACTTAATTACCAGAACCGCAAAGACGTTGTCATGTTTTGTTATCGTAATCCCTTCTTCCTGATTAATCATAATTTCCTAAGGCAATAGCGAAAGTTAGTATTTATAACAAAAGGAACGTTCACTTTGAAGCATGTTATACATAAGCTCCAATGCTAATCCCTGGTAACTTTTTTCTTTGATCTCAACCCTGGGAAAGCCTATTTTGTTATTAAACATGTTGGCTCCCGGTGATCCTGTAACCTCATTCAATAAAAGGCATTCTGAGACAAATGATGGAAGTATCTTAAAAGCAGAATGAAAACATTTGGCCTTTTTTTATTGCTGGAAGCTTCCTAAGAAGGTGCACCACATTTTTTTTTTTTACTTGTTATTTTTCATCTGTCTAACCCTCTTAAGGTCTAACTTCAGTGTTCTAGCCACAAGACAGATTATTCCATGTTTCTCCTGCTCAGGGCAGCTACAGATATCATTTCCCCAAATCTCACATCTTCCAGAACAGGAGTTCTCATAAACTATTTGACCCAATGATCCCCTGTAGTCTCAAATAACGTCATTAGTTACACAAACACACACACAATTATCCTGGGGGTAATTGCACCTACTTTAAAAACCACTGCTCAAAAAGTACTAGATCAGCGGTTCTCAACTTGTGGGTCGCGACCCCATTTGGGGTCGCACGACCATTTCACAGGGGTCGCCAAACAACGCCGTCCGCCATTTTTTTTTACCCTTTTCCTTAGCTGTGCTACTCCCTCTGCTTGGCGGCAGCCTGCATGCAAGAACTTTACCAAACATGCCCTGCAGGAGGCGTGTGAAGAGCGCAGGCGCAGAGCAAGGCCCCACCCTC